TCGCATGGCATGGCATGACGTGGTCACATTTTTGATAAGTTTTATATTTACGCTGTCAAAAGTCCAGAGCTCCGGAGTAAATTTGAGTTGGAGTGGAACTGACAGCGCCACCTATCGAAAACGACAGAATAATGTTTACTGTATCAAATAGTATATAATTAGCGAACAACTTTAAAGAAATCAAGTATGAAATTGATACGGGAATTACTTAAAACCGTTCTTGAAGTATAGTTTTTTTGTGTCACGTTATTATTTTATTTAAAAAAAAGTATAATAAAATTTTTAACATTTGTTCACGGAGTTGCTGACATATTTTATTTACTATAAGGACACGATAAACTATGTTTTTAAGAAAAATGGGCTGCAAAGGAAAACTCTTTTGCAACCTGCAATGCTGATGTGTTAGAGTGCGTCGCCACGCCACACGCCCCGCTGAACGCTCTAAACTGAGACCTTGCCTTTAAAATTAGCACGACAAAGACGGCGAGCATGTGTTACACTAACGTTACACCTATACCGGTAGTTGTAAAGTTTGAAGGTGTTGACGAATGTGTATGTACTCATGAGACATAATGTGCGATGAAGTATATCTTACTTCGATGAATAGCTCAACAAACGAATCCAACCTGACCGAGTAGCTTTCTAGAAATTGCAAAAAAAATTAAAGACAAAGTAAAAAAATTTTTATTCAAGGTTGTCCTTTACAAAGCACTTTTCAAAAGTCAAGATCGGTTCAACTGCAGGAGATCTTCTAAAAAGATGCGACAATAATCTCACAAGTAGACAATTTTGTCCCTACAGTTAGTAATTGCAATTTTAGGTGCTGATTTATCACGTGCTCGATGGTGAAGGATAAATTTTTGAGGAAACTTGCACGTCAGCGGTACAAAATATTTCTAGCAATTGTGAAGTCCGCCAACACGCACTGACGTAGTGCGACGGACTATGATTTATAATTTATTTATTAATTAGAGGAGGACAGTACATAGCTGTGAAAACGGAGTATATATACTCCGACTTTATTATTTATGTAACGAATAAAATTAAACTATCGCAAAAGGAGTCGAGTGAAGATGATAAAATACGGTAAAATAAAGTGAGATTCAGAAATATTTACGAGATATTTTTAGGTACTATGCCCAAAACTCAATACAATGGCTTTTTCAATCGATCGATCATATTTCTCGTCCCTTTGATTAAAAACTGCTCGAATGCATTTAACGGTACGTTCTACAAAGCTCCGTTGTAGTTTGAGTTTGAGCTTCTACCTGCAGGCTAACCAAACACTTGTTCCTTTCGGTTTTTTTTTCATTGGTATACACCACTGTTTAGTTTCGTAGTCGCTGTGGTTTTTATTTTATGCAGGGTGTATTGAATGATAATAATACATAAATATTAAGTATTTATAACCAAAACAAACACTATAACAGAATAGATGATAAATAAATGAATAAGAGCGTTAGTTTAATAAAATACATAGTTCTAACTTCAGTACGACTACAAATTCACACTAAATATTGTTATTTTTAAATAGTAACATGTCATTAAAAATAGAGCACATTATTTTCGAAGTCGAAACTAACAAAGGAAAGTAAACCGTCGTGGTTTGTTCGATCGATGAAAGTAAAGGCCGGTGTAGACGGGCGAGAATTCCCGTTAGCCGGCCGGGCCCCGGGCTCACGGAATACTAAACGCTGACATACTGCGCGGCTTTTGACCCTATCCACATTCTAGACTAGTACTTCACACCTCTATGCATTGGATTTATTTATCTGCTTACGAAGATTACTAACAGCTTTTTCCTTCGGCTTTTGGGCCGTACAAACAAATAAAACAAAAACCAAACATTTTAAATTTATTATCAAATTAACAGAAACAACAAACGAACGGAAAAAAAGAAAAAGTGAATTCTATAAAAATATTAACCAACCGTAATAAAAAGATACACACACCTTTATTCCCGAGAAAAAATATAGAATGTGTCCATAGAGCACCATTACATTTACTGCTAGGACATTATTTCGGAGCCACAGCTTGGAAATTCTAGTTACTGGGCAAAAAATCAAGGCACCTTTTTTATTCGTACTCATTATGTTTTGTTAAAATTATTGCTGGGACCTTTTGCACATTTTCCATGTTATTGTTATCTTGTTGTCTTTCTTGTTCAAAAGGTCCTTACAAATTTTGTTTTAAGCAAAAAATGCAATTTGCGCAAACAGCGTTTTTTAGCACCTCATTGTCTTTTGGCATCCGCAATAATTGTAAAAACCGTTATTGTTCGAACACATTGAGAAACTAGTTACCCTAACAACACCAACTTCAATTCTCTTGTTTTTAACACTTATTGCGTAGGAATAAAAATTGTGCTTTTAAAGTAATAAAATATTTGAACAAGACGATGTTATCTTACATATGCAAAGTGTGATTTAACGTGAACATTTAATCAATTCATTAGGAATATTAGCATGGGCCAGGAAGTTTTGGACGGATATAGACAGAAGAGGACAACGACCCTACACAAAATTCGCTGCATTGGGCTAGGTCTAGTGCATGCGCGTATGTAGACGTCAACACGGGAACATCACGAGCGGGAGCGAACTACGAACCGACTCCCAGACAGAGCAGGAGAAAGGCATGAATGAGTTTTAAAACCTACCCAAGAAGGGGAAATGAAGTTTGCACTGCGGGCACTACTTCCACAGATATAGACAGGACCTACGCCATACATTCGACTAAGATCAATAATGCCTATTCTGATATGCAGCCACCTAAGCTAAAAACTGTGTGTTCTTATAGACCTTTTTAAAGCGTTACCATAATATAATTTATTTTTAGCTTTGTGTTGGTAATATATTATATTTATTTTAAAGTTATCATCTTAAGATTTTATTCGAATAATTTCTTCACTGCAATATGTTGTGAAATAAACCGAAAACATACAAATTGATTACTTTCCTTCATGGATATTTTATATTATCAATTATACTGCCAATTAAAATAAGTGTAACAGCTCGGTAACACAAACAATGTTTGACTGCGGCGCTGCGAGCAGAGGAGTTAAATCCCGGAAATTCGTATGAGCTACAAATTATTGTCCCATATTTGTCCATGTGCATAAATAGCATAAATGATGCTAATCGCCTATACAATTCCGTACTTCCTAACAAAACAATTTGATTTTTATTTATTTGAACGACGTTATGGTACCAATACTAATGGTATGAGAAACCAAAATAAAAACTTTAATCAATTGAACAATTATAAGAATTTTAATTAAAGACTTGTAATTGTAAATTTTTTTAATTTGGCATTAAGTTTTAAGACATACCTCAAAAATGTCTGAAAAATAATACAGAAAATAGGCTTTATTTCATAAGTTTTAGGAAAATTGGTGAAGGTGTCATCGACCCCTGTGCCCAATACTAATACAGTAAACGCATTTCCCCGCACACACGAGCGCAGCGTGCGATTTATTCGCGCAGCGGCGGCGCGAGTGAGTGAGATGCCGAGCGACGCCGGGCGGCGGGGCTAGCGCAGTGGGACGAGGCAATCACGGCCATTCACCCCGGAAGATTCAGTGTTTTGATACCGCACAAGCCTCCGTCGACGTTGGAAAACTGCATTTTCTTTGATGCGCTTCGCTTTTCACGCTCTAATTGACCGCCAATTAGATGTGATTTTTTTCTCAACGCACTTTTACAATAGTCTGATACGATTACTAATATCATGTTCACGAATTAAACGAATAAATTTTACTTTTAATGATTTATCTTACGTAATTCTTTAACGTTTTTAAATTATTTTGACACATAAACAACAATCTTACATTACATTTCGTACATATTACAGCAAACAAGATCTATTTTAATGACATTAAAAATTAAGTGCTTCTTTCTAAATTGAAGGAAAAATTAGTTATCAATGTTGATGACTGTGCCTTGTAAAAATTATGACAGTGCATAATATTATTGTTTTAATTTCTATTAAAACGGCGTGTGTGTTTTTAAGCCAATTAATAAACGTTTTACGACTAAAAAATAAAAATAAACTGCGTAGATGCGACACGCAAGAGACAATCATTTATTTTAAATTTATAATTTATCATAAAAAAGATTAATATAAAGTAAAATTAGGTTTTAGCTTCTAAACGTTCCACTGCTGGGCACAAACTTCGCAGTTTAAGAGGGTTAAGATATTTCTTAAATAAAATGAATACGATGAGCGCCGTTGTAGCTCAAATGCTGATTGCTCGACATAAACGAGCAAATCGAGTTCGATTCCCGCCGGCACTGATGAAATAGTTAATTGCTAATAATTAGATTCCTAACAAATTCATTTAATTTAAATGTGATGTTATACCATTTTAATTTAATAAGCTCAAATAGTCATAATCAAATAGGAAAATTACTACTACAAACATGCAGTACGTACGTATAAAATAATATCATTTACTGGAGAAAGACACCTTAACTATTGGGGTAGGTTATCAGACGTGCCCGAAAAGTGCCAGACATTAGTATAGGTCAGGAATCCCTTAGGTACCGAATACAAGCGAAACAGCAATATAGCTATGTTCCATCTATCCCGTAATAGTAAATATATTATTAATGCTACATACATGATTAAAACTACTTTTACGGATTTTATCGCGTTTATTTTTACTTTTTATTATCAATCAAAAATAAATTAAAATTTGGAATCAAAAATAAAAGTAAAAACAAACGCGATAAAATCCGTAAAAGTAGTTTTAATCATGTATAGTGTTCGCGTAAATATAAGAAATCATTAATGCTACATACATCATAATTATAATTATATAAAAATAATGAGCAACCAATAGAATAGCAAAATAACTTTTAAAATATCAATTATTTTAAAATCTAACGTATGGAATAGAATATAAAAACTCATGAAATTAATAATCATCACTTGAATTAATTCATAACATAATAATGCGAAGCAATATACTAAAAAAATATATTGTGAGCGTGGACTGAACTATGGAAAACCGCTGGTGCTATTATTCAAAGTTCGAAGAGTTTGAGGCTGTTAACAGATTACAGACTGTAAATAGTGAAATCAATATTGGATAATGGTAGGTGGCAGGGTGCGGCGTGGCGGTACCGCCCGAGGAGGCAAAATGCAACACCCTTACTACGAGTCGAACTCTATCCACTCAATCGTAACTTTTGGATCTAAGTTTTTGTTTACTCCAATCAAGTAAGATCTGATAAGCAGTTCAATGAAGTTTAAGAATGATTCGAGAGTCAAAGGTAAGGGTGCGTGAAGGCAGTGTCGACGACCCGCGAGAGTGAAAGCGTGTTCCGGGGTGGCGCAAGCGAACGTCGCCCGCCCGCCCAGCCATGGCTTTCGCTGCCGTTCTCACGCTACTACTTTGCATCTTGTTTCCAACTTATTTTAATTAACACTTCCCTAAATCTCATCGATTGAATTATATGAAAAATATATGGTATATTTGTAATGTTCGTTGTCGCAACGGTGAATATTAAAAACGCTAGTTGTTTAAAAACTATTTGAGTCAGCCATAAATGTATTGACAATTAATCAGGAGTGACGATGATGTGAGCGGTAAGTGTCAGTGCCAATAAGTCCTTAAGTAACCACTAAAACTGCATTTCCCGCGGCGCTCATAGTGATCATCAATAAAGTATAAGCGCGGATCGGGAGCACGGTCACGGCGCACACCGCGGCCGCTCGCCACACTACGGAAGTAATGAACTTGAATGCAGCTCTCGACAGCCGCACCGCGTCACGCCGTCCCGTTCTCATCTAATCGGCGAGCGCTAGGCGCGAACGTGACGTACTCACTGCACTCGCTGTCAAATTCGTCCGCATTCTCCATCACGGGCCGCTTTCGTCGTCGATGCGTTTATCGGAACGAGACGCGAATATGTGTGCCGATTGCATTCCCGACGTCGTAAAAGTGCATCTAGGTCGGTCGGCGTAGCGGCGTCGGGTTAGTGCGACGCGCTCCGTCGCTAGACGTGGGGCAGGTCGGAGCACCGGGTTGCATGATGCACTGCGCCCGGCCGCGGCGGCTCCCACGCTGACCCCAGCGGCACAGCACTGGCCGGCCGGCGGCGGGCGACATGAGAGCGGAGCGACGGCTGTGGCCTCTCGTCCCTCTGCTGACGCTCCGCATCCTCCTCGAGTACCTCAAGTCGCTCGACATCGCCCTCATATGCTCTTTACCGAGTGAAAGAGTTTAAACCGTTGAATATATTTGTTAACCCGGAACACTAACAATAAAAATCTTAATCAATGTTTCTATCAAGAATGCGATTAGCAAAATCCTCGTAAGTATAAAATAATATTATCAAATGCAAAAATAATTAGCGTAGCCTTTTTTCTATTAAGTTTTATTTTTTGGGAATACTATAAATTACGTAATTTTTGAACTCAACAATCTTTTTATTTTCGGCCTATTCATAAATTTAAAGGGGCTGGATAGACAAAAATATTGCTAACAGTGCAAGTATTTTAACGATCAATAATTCTACTTCGTATTTTATTATAATTGCAATAAATAATCTTCGAAAATATCGTTATTTTCGAAGATTATTTACATATTTCTACTCCTTTATAGAATTTCAAAATTAAATACCATTAAAATTTATTGTAGATAAAAATACACATTTCTAATAGTAAGTGATTTATTTTAAAAGCAATCAAAAATAAAGAAAAGGAAAATAATTGGAATAATTGGACCCACTCGTCTTTGTTTCAAAATAAATTTTACTTCGATTTAATTATATCACTGCATTATTTTTTGCATTATAAATAGTTAACATACCGTCATTATCTTGCCGATACTCTGTCTATTTGTAGTGGAAACATTGGCGTATTTAATATTATTATTAGACTACAAGGTTAGTCTCCCGTTACACTTTTGCATGTGTAAAATTTGTGAGCAAATCATGGTCACATTACAGAACCTTATAGTTTCGAACTTATTATAACGCCTAAGTAGCCGAAGGAAGAATAAATTATTATAACGCCTATGTAGTTTATTCTATGCATATACTATTATCTATTGATTATAGATATTTACTTGATAGTTATATGTTATTTTATACATGTTGGTGAGTGTTGTTCTTTCATTAAGTGCCTAAGAATATACTTATTATTATAATACACATTTAAGTATTATAGTTTAAAAATTATAGTATTATTATAAAATAGTAGTAACCTTTTTATGCTACTATAAAGATTAATTGTTTAAGTGTACAAATAAATCAAATATGAATCCATAAATAACTGAATTCCCATTTATAACTTTTATTTTCTTTTGATTCTGTACTTTCCTACAAAATAATTGTAATAGCAATCAATAGCCGTATCAAAATAAATATTTTATACGTATTATAATTTTAAAAATACTTTTAAGACCTTTACATAAAAAGTATCAATCACATGAATGTAAAAACAGACTATGACAATAGCTTGTTAACCCCACGGATAAAACACAGGAACAACATTATCACATCATGATTGATATTATTCGATATATTAGATATATAAAAGATGAAATTGGGTGCATATTCAGAAAAATATAATAGTAAATTGGACTTTTACAAAAAAATATATAAACCAGGCTATAAATTTTAAACATTATAAAAAAGATAAATCGGTTAGATAGTGAGAAAGCGTCAAAATCACATTGGAAATGTTTAAAACATCAAACATCTAATTTTTTTACAACTTCAACACAAATATGAAAAAATATTCCTTTCGCATTTCGCGTGTTATGCAAGTCGTACATAATATGCATATTGAAATGCGTCAGTGCCGGCAAGCTAGCAACGTGCAATAAGCCGCGCAAAAGGGCAAGTTCACGAATGCGCGCCAAGGTTGCTTCCTGGTGCGCGCGCGACGATGCGTTACTGACTTATCAGTACGCTCTTCACTACTGTCGTATTATGTAAGAACCATATAACACAAATAAAATTATATTAATTTAAAGGATACTTATTTTATAATGCTTCGTAAAATCGACTTCAAAGCTTTTTAAAAATCACTGTATATATGAAAATCTAACTTAATATTAACAGTTACAGTAGTATAATTTAACTATATACGTAACAATGTATTTTTTGAAAACTAACAAACACTTAGCCGTCCATAACATTTCGCATTATCCCTGCATCTATATTCAATATACCTACACTACATACTCGTATATGGCATATTTATATATTTCTATATATTATTTTAATTTATTTATATTCATTATAATTAATTATACCGCTTAGTGGCGGCGTAAGAAAATCCACTATCCTATATCATCCAATGAGTGTCGTAAAAGGCAAAGAAATGAATTGAGATGCCAGCAGCAGCATCTTCCTGATAACAACTCTAAACTATTTACAATTAAACATTGTTTTACGGATTTTATCGCGTATATTATTTTATATTCTCGACGTTTCGAGCACACGTCCCAATGTCATAGTTAACCACGGCTGCCTCCAGATTAAGTCTCCGTGCAATTTATACATAGCGTTTTTTGCTAATCCTAAATATCTATCTAACATATTGTAATTTTTAATGAGTATATTGTAATTTAATAGTATAACATTTTACAATACAATTAAAAAATTAAAAAGAAAATTGTGAATAAAAAAGTTAACTTTATATTAGCGTGTACGCTAAAAATTCTGAACTCAAATATCACACATTGGTGATATAAAACAGCATTGCCATTATATTTATAACAAGCAATACTATAGCAAGGGTCACAGCACGTGGAGCATGTGTCAAAATAATTTTCAAATACATAATTAATTATTTACTGTTACCGTAACAGCCTATTAAACTCCAATGTTCAACATAGGCTCACCCCGTAAATTTCCTCATAGGGGGGATATTCTCCATTGTTGCCACGCTTGGCTAGCGGGTTGGCAACAGCGTTTTATTTTCATTTCTAGGCGTTATCAGGAAGACACTGCTACCCATCGCCTGATTTTTTCCCTCTGTCACCTCTTACGACACCCACGTGATGATATGGAGAAGTGGATATTCTTACACCGCCGCTACACGGCAAAATTAATAAAAATAAATTAAGATAACCTCCTTAAGGCGGTTCCCCTAGCGAGAGACCTTGAGCGTTCGGTCCCATACAATCCACGCGCTCTCGCTACAATATATCACGTAAATATACGCCCGAATATTTGGAATTATTTCAATTATAAGTGAATTATTAAAACGTGGTAGAGTTTTTTCATCCATGCTGCAGTTATATTAATAGTATAGTTGTAGCAAGTAGATTTTAAATGTATTCATAACACATAAAAACAAATTAGAACGTGGAATGTGATGATAGGATATCGAACATTAATAATGTGCTTTTAGATGTAGCTTATTTTTCATAACTAATGAGATAATAGTCTCTGAAAAACGCACTTTTGCCAGGTTTTGGTCAGGGTAGCGCCTTAAGGCAATATTCAAAAATCCGATAATGTGCCCGGCTAGCCAACCACAATGTAGGGTTCCGTAGTTGCCCGTCTCAATACGAGGGCTTTCTTAATAATGAGCATAACAAGTGAGTTGACTGAAAATGGACCCAAATAGGAAAATGGTCTTATTTACAAATCAGACTTATAGGGAGTGGTATTCAAAAATATTAAAAAAAAATTTTGAAAATAATACAATTTACATCAAATAATTCACATGATAAATCTGTACAAAGATGGTCATAGTTGACTATCTATCTGTATATTCCAGGCAGTGCAACCTTAACATATAATATATGACCATAACGCACCTTCACGTAAATCACTACTGCCCGAAATTATCCTTGGGGTCGCGCGCGTAATCCAAGAGTATGACGAATGAAACAGTATGAGGCTATTTGATTGTGTGAATACTTTGAATGAGGCCTAGAATAACAACCAACTAAAAAAATTTGCGAAAGTAGTATGTAAGTAAGAAAGATTCTCTCTGCCCATCCCGCAAATAAATAGGTAAAGCTATAGTAGTAATGTATATAAGTTATTTTCTTCATAAAAAATTTATTTCTTACAGTTTTTATACGTGGTAGAACCACTCTGCAGCTATATTACAGTTGTAGCACGAATGGGTCGACTCGACCGGGGAAGGACCACGCTCTCACAGAATACAAGCGTAAAATAGCAGCTGTGTGCAATACTGCTGTGATTCGTATGATGAGTGTAGAAATCCGGAGACCTTTTTTTACTGGTTAAAGGCATTCCGTCTTAGTCTTCAGGGGTGACAACGTACCTACGTTTTTATTCTTAATCGAGGATAAATGTAGACGTCTATGGGCCACAGCATCCACTCACTATCAGGTGGACTGTGTGCTCGTTTGTCACTCTTATTCTATAAGTACAGTATATAAATATATACTGTAAGAATATATTATATAGAGTACTATTAATTAAAAGTTATAATGCAGCTAGTTTTATGTAATTTTCTATGGGGTTGTAACGAAATTTTTAGTAATCCAAGTGCATTTTATAAGCTGGTCGATTATTACTCATATTTTTGATTCTACTTAGCTGTGATAGCTTTCCTTATAACTTTTTTTTAAGAATAGGGTGAAGACAGTCCATGATGGTAAGTGGTTGCTTTTGGAATTTTTAGAAGGGGTTTTAAATAGAGATTTATTGGTGTCTTCCTTTATGATGGTTAACTCATTACATATTGAGTATACTTTTCACATTTCAAAAAATAACAGTTTGGTTGGTGACTCTAATGAAAAATACGACTTTAATGCTTAATATTTCGCAAACGAAACCCTGAATCAAAAAGATGTTCTTCCATACTATAAGGGTTCCTTGTTGTGTAATATTAGTTACGTAACCATAAAAACGAGACCAATAAAACATGCTAAAGTTGTCAGGGTCACAAAATGAGTCGCGTGCGCAGCTAACCTTACGAAGACATTACGCAATACACGAATGGTGACGTGCAATCAACACCAACCCTTGCAATGCATGTAATAAAATTAACAAAATTACACAACTAAAATTACAACTTTAATTAAATTGCATTTTCTCTTTTATGACTTATCCTATTGGTGTAGGCACTGTTCATAAAGTCACTATTTGTACAAAGATTGCGCAAATACGTTTAGGTTATAACCGAAAATACTATTTGCGTATTTAAATATTTTGTTCACGATAAAGAAAGAAACCGTTCCTCATGAATATAACGATGCATATACGTGCAATTTTAATTGTAAAATTGCTAATACAATTTTTTTACCCATATTAAAGAGTTTCGTCTTCATTAATCAGTAAAGTTCCACTGCTGGGTACTAGACTCTCCTGGATTTGCCTTAATCGTCACGTTTTGTGATCTAGTATTCTGAGACAATTGCTTTAAGATTTAGTTCGAATCCTTGTAAATAATAACCCTTTAACGTCGGTCGGTGTAAACGAGATAGTTTACTGCCATCTATTGCACAACATTAGATAATTTCGGCATTTTTTTTATTAACCGAAATCTAGGATCAACGTCTTTTTCCTTTCGCTTTGTGATCTAGTATTCTGAGACTATCGCTTTAAGAGTTGGTTCGAATCCTAGTAAATATTTGTATTTCAATAATTACTAGGATTCGAACCTCATTTTACTACGGAGTCAGTCTAAGAAGATACCATCTTCTTACCTATTTTGCCGCCAGCAGTGCGTGCCCAATTGTATTCCAATACGAAGGGTAGTCCTAGTCTTCAGAGATATCAACGCATCTCTAGCCGTCTGTATTTAAAGTTGGATCAGGTATCCAAGAGCTGCAGTATTCGTTTACCATCAGGTAGACTGTAAGTTTGTTCATCACTTCAATTTTATTAAAAAAACTGCCGACAGTAGCCATAGTTGTAGTTGTGGTAAAATCCTTGAGGAAGACATCAGACAAATTTAAAAATAATTAATGTGCTTTCAAACCAATATTTATGAATTAAACTTCTTCATGTAAAGAGAAATTTTAGTATTGTAACAGCGAAATGTAGGCTGAATGGTAACATAACACTTATTTAACTATGCGATGTTTACAATTTTCAATAAGCAGCCTTTCGGTTGCGTTACGCAATCACCTGAATGTAAAATAGCCAGTTTTAATAACAAATGTTTTTATTCCCAATGAATATGTCATTGGCCGCCTGATTAATATAGGCATTTTTTTTTTCAGAAAAAACATTGTTCTGATACAATTATTACTCATACAACAGCCGTTTCATAAATTTAAGTTAATTATAAAAAAATGTATATACTTCAAACTGATGATTCTCCTAATTAGAAATAAGTTTACCTCAGAAGCAGTCAGAAAATTTCTGCAGTATTATTTAACGATGAATGTAGCTTACAGCCTTATTAAAATTATTAAGTACATTAGAAGAGAAAGAAGAAGCAAAAATAGTGCTATTACTGTTTAAAATTTATGAAAAAAAAAATTTGCAATTAATACAATATTTCAATGTACGTAACAGCTAACTTCCTTGTTTTACGTACCATTTTGCCAATTTGGCAAATATTCAATACACTGTTGAACAAAATAAAGTAGAGTAATAAAAATAAGCTTCTACTTACATGATCGAATAATCGTATTGCCTGAATGATCGTTGATACTATGAAGAAATAAAAAATAATATTTGTTTTTATTTTCAGGTACACATGATTACAATAGACAAAAAGAAAAAGCTGAATTAACCAACTCCACTAAAATGAGACTGGTAATAAAATAATATTTCAATAGTACTAAGTTAGTTTAATTTCAATTCAATCAAATTCTATCTATATGCAAGCTATACTATCTATTTAATGTGTATTCCGAGCCACCGGCTCCACAAATAAATCATTACATCCACATAAATCGTAATATTAAGACAAACTATTTCTGTAATTACATCATTCGTAACAATTGATCGTGCTAATAGAAATTTTTCATTCTCTTAATTATTTTCTTTGAATTTTTCCAAACTGTATAATTAAACTTTAGAAAAATTCAAAAAGCTTTTTTATTTTATAGTAAAAGGTGATAAACGAGCAAACAGTCAACCTGATGGTAAATTAATGCTATGGCCCATAGACATCTACATCTGTTTTTGATTATCTGTCAAAATACAGAAGCGTTATCGCTTCTAATGACTAAGATGGAATACGACGTCTCTAGTTAAAAAGTTCACCGGTTCTCTACACTGACCATACGAATACAGCAGCATTAGGCTGCTATTTTACGCTGGTATTCTGTGAGAGTGAGGTCCAGGTTCCCGCTTGAGGCAACTTATTCGTGCTACAACCATGATAAAGCTGCAGCGCGGCTCTACCACGTGTAACAAAGGTGTGGGGCAGCAATAAAGTGTTTACTTTGAAAACAATTTGAGTAAATACAAAAATAGCGCAGTTGTGCGAGTAAGAGTGGAGAGTATATTATGGTTGCGGCATAAATGGATCGGCTCGACCGGGGTAGTACCACGCACTCACATAATACCAGCGTAAAGTGGCAATTTAATGCTGCTGTGTTTCGTATGGTAAGTTAGAGAACCGGAGACTCATTTTTATTAGAAATGAGGTATTCCTTTTTTGTTCTCAGTGGTAACAACGCATCTGCACTTGTTTACGGGTCACAGCATCCATTTTCCATTAGGTGGACTGTGTGCTCGTTTGTCATCGTTATTCTGTAAAAACATATTTTCAAATGGCTTTCTCACGGGATTTCCAGTTCTCAAACTCGCTAATTATATAAATTAGTGAGATTTACGTCAAATAGTCTAAAGCGAACGTCAGTGATAGACAGACAGACACCGGAAGTGAAACTATAATATAAAAGTATAAGTATTCTGTTTTACTAATATCGGCAAGGGATCACTAAAATGAAATATGTTACTAATAAATGCTTTGCGAAAAATATAAAGAGGCGTTCGGGGAAGTGTTGGTGCGCAGTGAAAAGAGCGCACTTATCACAAAACTAGGTCAGTAGTAGCACCGCCCTTTTATCGAACAGCACTCTTTGCCTCTTATTTAGCTAAAGTAAGCCTTTGGGCACAAAGCATAAGATTCAGATTGTTTAAACATCTCAAATGTGCAGGCGTATTTAAGGGTTTAAATGTAGTTCGTTTGCATATTTTTGACTCAATAATAGATTATAGACCAATAATAGACTCAATAATAGACCATATATGTGTATATATATATATATATATATGCATATCGTTCCTTAAATCTATTATTGAGTCAAAAATATAAGGGATCCCGCACAGAACAAGTATTTGTATGGCCTACAAGTGATAATTGTTCCAGGTCTGGATGTTTGTCCTTATGCATATGTGTTTGTAAACTGCCTTCACGATGTAATAACATTTGAATTAATCAGAGTGCACAATTTAAATCGAAAAACTTTGAAAAGATTTGAGTAGTATTAAATAATATAAAACGCGTTGCAAAATATTATATAAGTAAGAAAAATATTTGCTCCACAGTCAACAAGCGAAGAAGTTCCCAGTACGACAGTGGGTGGTCGTATGGGAAGTCCAGAAACAAGCGCAACGGCCGCCATCGCAGCAGCTGGAGCGGGTGCCTACGATGTAACGCGTATGCGAGAAGAGGAATTTGAGAGACTCACAGTATACATAGTACCCGATGTACCATGCGAACGGGGAACACCCAACAGAGCTGAAAAAACCCTTCCACGAAGTCTGGCTTTAAGGCCCTCCGTAGTACTATCAACGCCTAATACACCGGTAAGAAAAAATATTTTATAAAAAAAGATGGTATAACTATCTACAAATATTGAATATGAACTAAAATATTAGTTATCAAGATTTTTTTAGTATTTTATAAATAGCAGATAATAAACTTAATAAATGCATTTAGTAAAGACATGTCCAAGAGATATATTTATTTCTGACATAGTTATTTTAATAAATATGCATTACAGACGGAAGGAGTTTGGAGCACTGGAGTAATACCACGCGGAACACGTTTTGGTCCATTTGAAGGCACAAGAACACCAAACAAACCAAATGACAAAGTTTCCTGGCGATATTATTGGAGGGTAAGTTGTAATTAATAATATTAAGTTAAGATTACTTTAAAGCAATTCTCTTCACTTCGCTTATGTATAATTTCCTCTACTCAAAAAGTTATCACAGGGAATGGTCTTAAAGCTTATACACAGTTGTAAATACAAACCTAATGTATAATAATCCTGAAAGTTGTACAGCTTTAATTCAAATTAAAATGCACTACTCTTCGCTAACTAACCTATTCCTCTCTATGTTGGGCCAGGTACAGGAAACTGTCAGACATCATACTTATGGAAATATTAAGGTGAGACTAGGCTTTAAAACTCTTGTTATTGGTGATGGTATTATTCTTCTAATAAAATTCTATTAACTTTGTTAAGAAAACCGTTCTATTATCTATACAAAGTACATAAATAAAATGTGAATGATTTCGAATATGAGGCAATGTGATATAATTATGACTCCAAAATGTTGTCCGTGGTACAAATTTATCCTAAATATTAATAACTCAACAAATGTTAAACACTCAAAATCAAAGAAGTACGTTATCTTACGTCCTTACATGACGAGTATGATGACATTGCACCTCGTCCTTCACTCCCATATATTATATCACGTAAGCATGTTGCTATCAGTTGCACGCGCATTGTAAATACCGAACACGTGCCACGTGTTCTCACTTAATGCCTTTGGACAATGCTAACAAACAGCCTTTACTTTTATGTACCACTGATGTATATTTTAAATTTACATGCGTTTTAATAAAATTATTGGTTATTTACAGATATTTAATAAAATTATTGGTTATTTACAGATATTTAAGGACAGTGATTACTATTACCTGGATGGGTCAGACACAAGTGTAGCCAACTGGATGCGTTATGTAGCTTCAGCTTACTCTCTTTCTGTAATGAATCTTGTGGCTTGCCAGCATCAAGACCACATATACTTTTACACCATCAGGTAACCACACATATACAATGCACATAGTAACACTTATGTTGATTACCGAATTATCACGATTTTGTTTATAAGTATTTTTTTTAAATTGTTAGTTTTTATTTTTACAGAGACATTATGCCGAATGAAGAACTTATGGTCTGGTATTGCAAGGACTTTGCGACCAGGTTAGGATATGATATTGATCCAGAAAGAGCTACTTATTCTATTTGTAAGTAAATAGCCGTTAAATACTTCCGCAGAAATAAATACTATTAAATAATATGAATTTTAATGTACCTAAATTGCTTAATGTCATATAATATTTCTTTGTTTTTCAGGCAAAGAAGAAACAATAAAAAAAGCTTATGGCTTGCCCCCTGCACCAGTACACCCAGAGATAGCATTTAATCACATGAAATATGTACTTGGTTTAACAAACGCTAAAGAACTTTTAGAAACTGATGTTCCAAGTCGTAGAAGAAAACGTGAATCTATTGAAAAGCCGATACACGAAAATTTTATAACACGTGAAGATCCCCGAATTGCGAATAAAAACGACAGGACAATTATAAGAACTGACATATCTGCAAATATTATCCATCATAAAGCCGATAATCAAACTACCAACGATCACATGCCATTGTCACCTAATGGACTTATGCAACCACCCTCACCTGTAAAATTACATCATAGGGATAACCAAACATTAATTATTCATCAACATAAAGAAAGTACATCTCATGTGGTAATACATCAACTTGAAAATCCTAGACTACATGGCAATCGATCTCCCGCTCAAAATCTACACATGAGAGACATACGAGGGCCTTCGCCAATGTCACAAAACCACCAGGAAAAACTGGGCAGTAAATCACCAGGCTTAACGCATTGTAGTACCCAACACTACGAGCACCAGTTGACACCTAATGATGGATCAGTAAGGTCAGATGAAGGATACCATAGCAATGGATATCATGATGAATTTACACCACCCGAGGATTCCAGTGATTCAGACATAGAAAACTATGTGTTAGATTGTTCAAATAAAACAAACGAACCCAAGGAAACTGTTATAGTTCAAAAAATGGATCAAGATATGCACAGAAATGAATACAGAAAAGTTAAAATAAAAATGCCCAGAGCATACCAGTATCAAAACCATAAAGATATGGACTGTGAAAGTGAGAAGGAGTTGATTATTGCAGAAGAGGTGGAGAATACTTCACCACAAAATTTATCACCACCCAGACGAGACACGGCTACATCAACTGTAATAGTACTAGAGTCATCCCAAAATGCTGTTGTACCTTTAAATAAGCCATATTATGAAGATGGTACTATTTCGCCCACACCGCAACCAGCCTTCATGCGTTATTCGCCGCCGGATACACGAATCCTGGAAACCATATTAACTGGAAATAGAATCGACACCAATAACAATGACCCTAACCGTCGGCAACCTAATGCGACTCCCCCGCCTTCATCTCCTACTGAAATGGCTTATTCTTACAAAAAGAGTCAAAGGTATGGCAATGCCTGCAGTCCAGATTCTAGTTCTAATTTAACACCCTTGCCATCATTGTTGCCATTACCACAACAACTGCCGACACCAAATGCTTCATCAGTTTATTCCTCATCTCCACCACATACAATACCACATACGACGGAAATTCGAGAAATACGAGAAATACGGGAGATAAGGGAAACGCGATATGAAAGTCATTATCCTAATTATTCATATAGTTTATATTCACCACCAAACTCTACGATTATCACGCAATTAGGATCGCCACCTAGCACATATTCACCAACTGTGTCTTCCACGCATCAGTATGAAAGATCACAAAGTGCTCAAAGTAATCATCACTACCCCTCCTCAACAAGTGTTATAACACTTAAAAATTGCTCACAACTAAGTTTAATTCAGAATTCAAATGTCAATGGTCAAATTGTACCACAACATGGAAGTATGAGCCCTGATGGTTCATGTGGTCTGATGGTTGCTCCAATGAGTCCCAATTCGCAATCTTCTCGCGGATATAGAAGCCTTCCATATCCGTTAAAGAAAAAAGATGGAAAAATGCATTATGAATGCAATGTTTGTTGTAAAACTTTTGGCCAGCTCTCAAATTTAAAAGTTCATCTCAGAACACATTCCGGTGAACGGCCATTCAAATGCAACGTGTGCAATAAATCCTTCACACAACTAGCGCACTTACAAAAACATCACCTTGTGCATACAGGGGAAAAACCACATCAGTGTGACATTTGCAAGAAGAGGTTTTCCTCCACTTCTAACTTAAAGACACATCTAAGACTTCATTCGGGTCAAAAGCCGTATGCCTGTGACCTGTGTATGCAAAAATTTACACAATTTGTTCATTTGAAACTTCACAAACGGTTACACACCAACGACAGACCATATGTTTGCCAAGGTTGTGACAAGAAATATATAAGCGCATCTGGACTTCGGACACATTGGAAAACTACTAGCTGTAAACCTAATAACATAGAAGAAGTTTTGGCTATAACCAACGCTGCTAACACTGAATGTATTGGTAAGTCTTTAAATGTAAATTTAAGCTTTTTTAAACTTAATTTTAACAATTCACTTATTTTTTGTTTTTGTTTAATTAATTATTTTACATAATACACAAACTGTAAAATAGAGAGGGAATAAAACCGAACGAAGTCGAGAGAGCAACTGCAACAAACTGCACTTTCTCTTCGTAGGTGAACCGCAACTTTCACTTGCGCTCTCACTGAACGCGACCGATTTCATTTTCGCGTGCACTTTGCAGGTACCGTCGATAAAGACTGCCACGATAGAGAGGGGCACGAAGCTTACGAGGTACACTCGGCGTCGCAAGGAGGGCTGGTGGGAGCCAGTGGGGTGAGAACTTTGACGCATGGTGAGGCCCTTCTGGGTGCTCATGCGCATTCAACCACACCGCACTTAGCTGGCCCAGGGCCACTCTCCCCGAATCACGCATCGGCCTACCGCACAATACATGGACCACCGCCACCGTCCGAACATGAGACACCACCTCAACACTACTCCACTGGAGGAGAAACACGCCCCAGCGTCATAGAGTCTAGCCAACCACTCATCATTGAGTGCACCTGAGCCACATCCGTATGTGAAAGTGTTGGACTTTTAATTCCCCGCCGTATCATGTGATTTCAGTCTTGTGATCAAACAAAGTATTTTTTCAACTTTAAAAGAGACTATCGTGTGACTGACACTTCGTCTCGTCTCTATCAGTGGCTATGAGATTATGATATGAACATTAATTTGTATATTTGTAAAAACTTTATTCATAAGTATGTTACGATGTTATTAAGTACTAAGTACTTACCTTAAATTTAATAATTACTAGTAAGTATAATAAAAAATCTCCCTAGACTTTAAAATAGTTAGGATTTTGCTGCCCTTTATGTTAATGCTCAATTTTGTATGTTACAGTAAATTTCTATTGTAAATAGAATTTATTTCTTATCGACTTAATTTAAATTTAAAGGAAACCTTTGTGCATATAGTGAAATGTGCATGTAAATAAAAATTGGTAACTATCCCATAAAACGGTATTAATACTGACGAATGTTACTTCTATTTAATTTAAAATAATATAATAATGATTAATTTGTTGAAGTTTATGCCATCTTCAATATTTTTATCTCACCAAAGAACAGCCTAACAATTCTCCTTACTATTTGGCGTTTTTTTTTACGCCTGTAAAATTGATTGATATAACTATTAGGTTCTTGTTTGTAAGCATGTTAGTACATTTTGAAACATCAAACAAAAAATGACTCAATCTCAAATTAGTGGTAAGGTGCCAAAAACGCATTCGTATAAATTTTAAGTTATCCTACGGAAAAATAATTCGTGTAGTATTTTAAATTATTGTTCCTAATTAATAATTGTAGAGTAAGCGCATATGTGCTTAAATTTAATTATAATGTTAATACGAATAGAATCGATAAATTGTGTACATTATCCCTACGCTAGAACAAATGGTGCTTCACATCGTAGAGTAGTAAATGCTCGCGTCATTGCCCACGGGGTCAGACGGACGGACAATTACTACAGGTAATCTTAATACACCGACTTTACTAGTTACTATAATATAATTCAAGTTTCAAGTAATTATGATTCTCCTACTCGAAAAGGCTGAGATAAAATTCGTAATGAAACGATTGGCTAATATTACTGTAAGTATGGCTTTACATCACGTGTATGAAAATTGACGTAACACAAACATTTAACTGGTGTTAATACATTAAGGTTACCTATTCGTGATGTAAAACCAAACAATAGCTTTTTCTATATTTCTATTGTATCAATAAGAGTTTTACACGCAATTACTTATAAATTTACTGTATATTTTATACCTACTATTTACCAACATAGATTACATTTTTGTATTAAATTGAAACCGTTAAAATTTTGATGTTCTGAAATAATTTCAATAATATGTATAAATATTATTTGTAACAAGAATATTATAAAGGTGCGAAGGTAATGTCCTTGTATAAATATGCACATTATATAACTGTATAAGTGTACTTTATTGGTCTATGTAATACATAAAATGATGTAATATAAATAGTAACTGTTTTAATTTTTATTCAAAACATTGAAAAATGAACGAATGAATACTTCAAAATATCTGAAAAATGAACGAATGAATATGTCAAAATATGTATCTGTAATTGTCAAGCTATAATGCTTACTATTTGCGATATATCATAAAGTATATTTGAATTATGTCACCATTAAAATTGAAAATTTTATATCGTGCGAAATTCATTTTATAATGTTTTGAAAAATTATAACGGTTAAAATTCAATTCAAATATAATTGTAACTATTAACATAATCTTGTTATTAACTTCTCGCCATTCCTTGTTCATAGTTATATATATTTTTGTTGAAGTTTTATAGACTCGTATTTTTGTACTTCTTGTGTTTTATCTCAGTATGATAAATAGTTCGTTAAAATGAATCGTTTCATATATTCTGTGTACGTGGAGTTATTGTAATGGAATTGATATCGCACAAATACAACACTAATTAAATGTGAAATCTATTTGTAAAGATAAACAATATAAGCAGTACTGCATTTATAAAGTAGACATTGGCATATAATTAATTTGCAGAAATTTACGCCATCAAAGACATTTACAAAATAAACTTAAAATTACTCCACAGAAATTTACGCTATAAAAGATGAAAGTAAAACGTATTGATTAAATACTTTTAAGATAAAAGCAACGTTTCTTAAGTTTCCCTAACCATATATTATCAACTCTAAACTCAATACGTATAAAATCTTGTTAAGGCTTGAAGCGTTTTTTTTATAAATGAGATGTAAATTATAGGAAAATATACCATAATCAATTTCTTCCAGCCGGATATAAAAATGATTTTACTGTAAATAATTGTATTTACTGTGGAGTATGTTTCTGTACCTATCAGTTTTTATATTGTTATTTATATATGTATTTTTTTACTATTATTTTACTATGCAGCTAAAAACTTTGTATCAGTCTTGTATAAAAGGTTCTACCTAAAACATAAAAGATAGCTATTCCGTACATATTTTAATAAGTACAACTTAAATAACGGTACAGATTTTTAAGCAATATTTTATCTCCGCATTTTATCAATAACTTCTACTACGATTAAACATATGTATCAAACGTGTATAACTACCTTATAATGAGGCATCAATATAAATGTCTAATACGCCTGGATTACCTTTATATAAGCTATAAAGATCTGTAATTTTATACACCTTGATCGATAATTAATTTACGTCACCAAATCTAATTAAAACAGGAGAAAATTTTTAAATTGTAGTTTCAATAAAACCTTACGCTATCTTTAAGTTTATTATAAATATTATATTAAATTCCCTGTTGCGTCGAATTAAAAAATGCGTGGTCATTTCTGTTCTACGTATTTATCTGGTCAGAAACCGTGTAGTAATGGTGTCAGCGGCGAAGCTTCCATTAAAGCCGAAAAGCCGGGCTTGCCTTATTAAACCTGAATCAATCAATAATATCAACTACTAAAATAACTCTTAAAATGTTTCAAGCTATTTAAAATTTCCCGCGCACTCCACTGTTCGACACATGTCGACCGATGACCTCGTATTACCTTGGCGATACTGCTGCTGTCATAAAAAATGAGTTTTAATAGAGCTTGGGCTTTTTACGGGGCTTTCGAGAAGACGATCGCTCTCTTTCTAACCTATGGCAAAATATTCTATACTGAAATATAACTACGATTGTATATATAGCAATTAGTATAAAGATTTAAAGCCTTCCTCTCGGTGTTACTCACTTTCCCGATAACACCGATCACGCCCCCGATGTGTTAGATTTTGCGTTACTCCAAGGAGTTTCTCTCAACCTCAGAGCAATCGAGACACTAGACGATCTAGGATCAGATCACCGACCGGTCTCCCTCATTCTTGGCCATCAGCCACCTCCCCCAACACACACGAAAACCTTCACTAAGTGGAAGGGATTCAAGGAGTCCCTAGCTAAAGCTTTGGACTCACAGGACTCTACCATCTCCCTACCGTCGGACTTAGATAGTCCCGAAAAAATCGACACCGCGGTCGATTCACTCTCCACCCTTATTAAATCCTCCCTTAAGGAGAACGAAAGGGTCGTCCCGGTTGCTAACAATAGTGGGCTTCCCCTACATATTAGCAACCTATTAAAAGCCAAAAAAGCTGCTTTCCGGAGAGCAGCAAAATATCCCACCCCCGAATATAGGCGCGCGGCCAATCGTCTTCAACGAGAACTCCGCTTCCGCCTCTCTGAATTTCGAGACCTCGAAAAGAGTAAGCTCATGGGGAATATCTCTCCATCTCACACAGCGTACTATCAGATGGCTAGAGCCGACGCTATCACCCACACTCCCCCCTCTCTCCCGTTCTGACGGCACGGTTGCCTTCGAGGACGAGGAAAAGGCTGAGTGCTTTGCAGATAGCATTGCCGCTTAATGCTCTCCTAGTTCTCAACCCGTTGACCCCTCTCACGTCCAGGCAGTGGAGGATGAGGTCCGCCGCCGGAACTCACCCCCTACGGCCTCCGAACCTATCTCTGTGTCCAATGATGAGATTTCATCCCTCATCAAAGGACTTAAGCCCAAAAAGGCTCCGGGCGCGGATGGCATCTCCAACCAAGCCCTAAAACACTTTCCTGAGCAGGTGTTAACCTTTTTATCTATTATCTTCAACGCCTGCTTCAACCTCAGTTATTTCCCCACTACGTGGAAAGAGGCTACTGTGATTGGAATTCCCAAGCCAGGCAAGCCTCTCAACCTCCCCCTCCAGCCATCGCCCCATTAGCCTCCTCAAGGCAATGGGCAAGCTCTTCGAAAGAGTCATCCAAACGCGTATGAGGCGCTATCTGTTTCCCACAGACGGCGACCCTCTTATCATTCCCCATCAATTCGGTTTCCGAGCCAAACACTCATGTCCCCAACAAGTTCACCGCATTGTGGAATATATCCTCAGCGGTTTCTATCCTCGTCGTCATAAGACCATCGCGGTCTTTTTCGATATAGCTAAAGCTTTCGATAGAGTCTGGCACACAGGCCTCATCTACAAGCTCTACAAAATAGGTCTCCCCGATCGTCTAGTTCGTCTCGTGGCCTCCTATTTAAAACATCGTACCTTTCGTTTTAGACATGAAGGCACGCTTTCTTCACAGGGAACTATCAAGGCTGGTGTCCCTCAGGGCTCAGTACTTGCTCCTCTGCTGTACATCCTGTTCACCAACGACATTCCCATCCCGTCGAAAGGTGTTCAACTCTCCCTCTTCGCAGACGACACTGCCATCTACTGCAAAGGTGTCTCACTACCCTTCATACGGAACAAGATCCAAAAGTCAGTTGATGACCTAGGAGCTTGGTTCAAAAAATGGCGCATCGATGTGAACCCGGAGAAGAGCTCCGCCGTTCACTTCGATTATAAACGACGCCGTCTCAAAAACACTCCACCAATACGTATGCTAGGGACCCCTGTCCCCTGGCATACGTCCGCCAAATATTTAGGTGTCACTCTAGACACAGGGCTCACTTTCAAGCCCCACGTCAAAAGAGTAA